ATCTGTTATATTTCATACTTAAATCTTTACCTTGTATTGTGGTATAAGCTCTGAGGAGCCAAGTCTTAACTCTTTGCTTCTGATTTGCTAGCCAGTTGTTTCAGTAACGTCTACTGAAAGATTCATTTCTCCACTAATGTGAAGTGCCACCTTTTATTGTATACTGTATTCTTGTATAAAATTGAGTCTGTTTCTGGAACTAATAAATGTTTAAAAAATGAATTTCTGGATCGAATAGGCCAAGATTTAGCAGTGAAAGAAATTACAATGAGTATAAACTGTTCTACCATTTTGCTTTACTAATTATTGCACAGTGGTTATATTTTTGTTTATGATTGTGGCTTATCTGGCTAGGTGAAATACTGGATTTCCTTAATACAGAATTAATTTAAAATATGAACTTTGATACTGCATGAACTCTTGGCTTTAAGCATGATGAAGTGTTTGCATAGTTGTTTAAGTGTTTTATTTGAAGAGATCAAGTGGATCATGTGATTGTTGCTTACGTTTTAGGTGATCTGTAAGTCAGATGCTCCAACAGGGGATGTTCTTCTTGATGAAGCTCTAAAGCATGTTAAGGAGACTCAGCCTCCAGAAACGGTCCAGAACTGGATTGAATTACTTAGTGGTAAGCTTCTGTGTGTAAACTAAAAACCAAATCCTCTTTTAAAGAATTTTATAAAAGTTTGAAATCCTTTTGAAAGGAACGTGGACAAAATAGCCAAAAGCTTGTTTAGTTACTTAGACACTCCTGAAAGTTAATCAGTCACTACATGGAGAAAATAGTGGTTTTAAAAATTTTTGTCACCTCTAACAAGACTGAGCAGATGTTGAATGAGATATAATATACTTCCTTAGAGCTCCCTTCATTCTTTATAAAAATTACTTCATGCTACCTTACTCTGGATCACTCTGGTGACAAACAACCCCAAAACCTCAGTGGCTTAAAACAATAGTTTATTCCTCACTCATGCTGTAAATAGATCGATCACAGGCCACTTGGTTCTCACTTTACCAGCTGGACAGATGGAACTGCCACCATCTGGAGCCTTGTCAGTCACTATTGTAAAGGAAAGAAAAGCAGATTGCCCAGGCTCTTAAATTTCTGCTTAGAATGACACGTGGTTCAGATTTCATTAGTCAGAGCAAGTCACTTGGCTTTCCCTAACTTTAGGAAATAGGAAGTGCAGCCTTAGGAAGGAAAACCTACTTGGTTAACAGCATTAATGACTACATTTGTTTTAAATTTATTTGTGTATTTGTCTAATCCTCTAGAAAGTGAACTCCTTGAGTATAGGACCCATGTTACCTTGTTCTTCCTCTTTACTGTTACATAAAACATAGGTTCCTCATACGTTTATTTATTTTAATTTTTACTTAAAATTTTTTTAAATTGAGGTATAGTCAGTTCACAACATTGTTAATTTCTGGTGTACAGCATAACATTACGGTTACATATATATATATTCCTTTCCATATTCTTTTTCATTATAGGTTATTTCAAGATACTGACTATAGTTCACTGTGCTATACATATACAGTAGAACATTATTGTTTCTTTGTTTTCTATATAGTAGTATCTGCAAATCCCGAACTCCCAGTTTATACTTCCAGTCACTCCTTTCCCCCCTGGTAACCACAAGTTTGTTTTCTATGTCTGTGAGACTGTTTCTGTTTAGTAAATAAATTCATTTGTGTCATTTTTTAAAGATTTCACACGTAAGTAATATCACATGGTATTTTTCTTTCTCTTTCTGGCTGACTTATGTTCAGATATATTGCTATATCTATATCAGTTCTAGAGTAACTTTTTAAAACATTTGGAGATTCTCAGAGATTGGTAATTAACATGATACCATTTTTCTCACTTAACAGAGTTTCTAAAATAATAATATTAAGAGGATGTTCCTCTATCTGTAAAAGATTCTGAGTTTTGCATGTTTATTTAAAACTTGAATACACATATTCCATTCTTAGCTAATAGGACAGTAAATAGGCCTTTTACACTTGGGGCAGGATTCATTTTTACTTCTTATTGGTAGAGAACATAAACTTATTCACAAAATTGTGTTGATAATTTTGAGGGGTTTTTTTGACCACCCTCCTACAGGTCTGATAAATTTCTCTACCTTGTTGAGTAAGAGAGACTAAGGTGATCTTTTTTCTTTCTTTGTGCTTGTGGTATTGGTGTTGTCTTCACCAATATAATTATACTTTTTTTATAGAAAGTCTTTTAAAATTACCTTACCCATATTTTGAGGGTTTGTTTGGTTAAAACTAGATACTTACTCAGCACATACCAAGGCAGTATGTCACAGCACGCAGCCCTGTGTTGACAGTGGTCAGCCCTCTCTGGGTAAGCCTTGTGCCTGTCAGTGAACTGTGGCCCTCCGACAGAGACTCAATGAGGGCATGAATGTTAACTCTATATGTTAAATATTAGCAGATATAATTTTTTAAGATAAAAATAAAAGTGCAAGTTACCTCTAACTGTACCCTGACAGATCATTTCTACATCCTGTGGGGGGATCACTGGCTTAAGCAATTTTTGTGCCATGCTCACGTTGTGCTGCCATTGTTGGTCCATTCCTGCTTCTGGTAGTGCAATTTAGAATTGCTAACTAGGTGCTCAGCTGGCCAAGAGGAGGGTTTATCAAAGTTTTAGTTACTTTTGGCAGGTAGATCAGAGTGCAAGAGTTCTTTCTGTGGAATATAGTGGGTCTCACCTTAACATCAGTGTTATTGATATCCACTTTGGTGCCACTTAGTCCTGTGGAGATGTTTTTCAGATGCTGTATCCGCTAACGTTCTATTTATCCTGCATCATATGGGCTAACGGCATATTGGGATAATACATTCTAGACCCCTGGATTTCCTTTGACAGTTAATGTACCTGTCATTCAAGTATGGTATACAGGAAGTATGGCATGCAGGGAGTTGAATCTCAATATTTAGGATGGCTGTATTCTTCTTAAATTTGCCTGTTATGTACTATTTTATGCATGTAGCTTATCCAGTACTCAGTATAAACGATAACTGAATTTGATTTTCAATTTGAGCTTCTGTGTACCCTTCTCACTTGATTGAGGAGTGAAAGGACAGATGTCTGTAAGCTTTTCTCAGAAGTATTTACATACAGTTAATATTTTAAGACAGTATCCATTTGAGTTAGGAATTTGTGTAAACCAAGAAGCTAATACTTAGCAAGTGTGTGGGTTTTTTTTTAAACAATGTCCTGTGAAGTTTAGGATGGCCACAGATGCCAGAATATTGCCTGTAGCACTTTAGTTGCATGATCCTGATGTGTAATAGGAATGACCTGTAATTTCCGCATACAAGAAGGGAATCTAGAGAGGCAGAAGAAGAAAAAAAGCACATTTTTTTAAAATTAAGAAAACATCTACTTCATATCTAGTTAAAGTACTGATAGCAGCTTGCTGATTTTTTATTGTAGTGAAATGTACCCAACCTAACACCATTTTCACTATTTTTTAAAACTCATTTTATTATTATTTTTATTCTTAATGGAGGTACTAGGAATTGAACCCAGAACCTCATGCATGCTAAGCATGCGCTCTACCACTGAGCTGTAACCACTCCCCACCTTTTTAACTATTTTTTAAGTGTTCAGTCTTTGGCCAGCTTGTTGATTTAATATTTTTTAGTTGCTTCAAGATAATGAGTGGTATCAAATATCAGTTACTGCAACAGTACTGATGTAGGTGCTATGAAACTTAAAGAAGTGCTTCCGTGCTGAAAGAATTTTCAGATCCATTTGGGGAACAGTTGTGTATTTTTAATAATAGATCAGTAACAGATTAGAGTTTAACAATATAGTTCTCCAAAAGTGCAATATTTTAGAGAAGAGAAATCCCTGGGAGTTTTAGTAGTTGGAGGAGGAAGTGGAACTTGGATCAGGCCTTTGAAGGGTAAAAATGAGACGGAAGGAGGTGTTCTGTTCAGAGCAATTGGAGGGAGTGGTAACATTGGTGGACCTGTCCTTACACTGCTGAGTCTGTACTTGTTCCTTGGTTTTCAAAACTGTATACTGTAATGTTGAGGGTAACGTTACGTGCATAGGTGGTAAGACTGGGTAAAGAAAAAAGAGTGATTAATGTAGTACGTTGGTCGGGTGGTTACATCTGAGGCAGAGAAAGCACAATTGTGGAGGTATCTAAGGTCCTGGCAAAGATTTCTTCTTTACCTGGCGTGGGAGGGTGAGATACTCAGCCATTCATTTTATTATTATTTACAGTGTACATGTACACATGCCATATGTTTTAAACATTATCTGTGTATCTTGTTAATTTAAAAATTAATAAATATATATATCTGAGGCAAAGACCTAAAGTTTATGGTTTTTAAGAGCAGAGTTTTTTTTTGCTTTCTGAAATCTTAAGAGGTGTAATTGATAAATTTGGTCACAAGATGTCAGCAGACTGCCAAATTTACAAACAAAGCTTTTTTTGTAACATGTCAAGGAGGATGGAAGTTTTTCGTAGTGAAATTTTTTTGGTGCTTGTCTGTATGTCACTTTCACTGAATTATTTGTTGAGCAATGGACATAAATAATCTTTGAAGAACTTCCTCTCTTTATGTACTTCTCACAGTTTCCTTAATAAAAAAGTGAACTGTAAATAAATTCCATTTTAAATTTGCTTGTATAACTTGTAACGTCTTTTCAAGTAGTGAATAATTTGGGAACTGATAACAGTATGGATCACATTAACATCTTCTAATCTAGAATTCTGAGCATCATTCATTAAGTGTTTGTTACAGTGTGTTTAAAAGATATTCAACATTATGCTTAAATCAAAGCAGCTAAATCTTTAGTAGACAGTATAGGTTAAACCTTTATTGTGTCTTCACTCATCCAACTCCTCTCCTCCCATTCCAATTTATACTGGTGTCTTGAGTATGCTAATCTCAGGGGTGACTTTATTCTTTGGATTTAGCTTAATTTGGTTCTTTTAAAATGTCAGGATGCGAAGACACTTTGACCACTCAGTTATTTCATTGTGCCTTTTTGGGGTGCCCAATATAGTATTGAATATTACCCACACTATTTCAGCCTTCTGCCTATGGGATCCCTTCATGTTTTTCAAGTATCTGAAGAGATCTGAATAACATTTTTGTTGGAGTGAGCACACACGTTTTCTCCCCTTTCCAGGGACTTGCTATAAAGGATGATAATGTCTGAGTTTTTTTTTTCTTTTTTTAATTAATTCCTCTGAGGCAGAAATGATTGCCCATAAGAAGGTCCAGTCATAATGGAACTCCTTATTTGAAGGTGGCTCTGTGTTCAGGCTCTTCTCATTTTTAGTAGCAACATTAAACTAAGAGTATATTTTGGATTTGAGAAATTTCTCACAGGAACTTTGTAAGTATTGTTCCGTTGGTTGCAATATATAAGATTTAATTGTGGGTAAGGTGTGAATAAACCTTAGCATGCCTTCGGTATAGGAGATAGTAAGTTATAAACTGTTAACCTCATTTATTTCCAATGAGAAAGAAAAATCATTATATAGTAGCATTAGAAGGATTTGTTTTTTTTTTTTTTTAAGGTCTTCGAAGAGAAATTTAACTATGGGTTTCTCAGAATAATCTTCACAACTCCCATCCCTCTTCCCCATTGTTTAGGAATAGACGGCCCAGATGTTTTCTGAGACATAGAATACCTTCCTAATTGACGAGTGAGTTGCCAGGGAATAATACTTCTTTGATAATTGACAAATTATTATAAGCATAGTTAACTAATTAACCTTGGAGTTGAACTGTTAGTTTTTTATGGGCTTTTACATAAATTTGGCTATTGATTATCTTATGTTTATTAGTTTAAATTTCCAGGTGTCAATTAAGAATGTCAGGAAACACAACCTAGCGAATTCTAGCCTAGCCTTTAGGCTGCTTACCATGTGCCAATGACATTAAAAAACACAAAACTTCTTAATTTCAATTTTTAAAGAAGTGCAGTTGATTTACGATGTTAGTTTCAGGTAAACAGCAAAGCCATTCAGTTATACATATACGTACATACGGGTGTGTGTATATATATATTTTTTCAGATTGTTTTCCATTATAGCTTATTACAAGAAATTGAATATAGTCCCCTGTGCTATACAGTAGATCCTTGTTTATTTTATATATATTAGTGTGTATCTATTAGTCCCAAATTCCTCATTTATCCCTTACCCTACTTTCCCCTTTGATAACCACAGTTTGCATAGCTAACCTTAGGAGGAAGATGTTTGCCTCCACTCGGGCTCATATTCTGCATATAATTGCTGCCTATCTGTTTTGTTGTTTCTTTTGCCTGAGCCTTCCTCTTCTTTCATAGGATGTCACATCCTGCTGCATTTCAAGATTTAGTTTGAAAGTTCTTCACCCTGTAAGTTTCCTAGAAATACCTCTTAACATCAAACCCCTGTAATGTCTTATTCCTCTGGGCTCTTTGTTTATATTATTCTTATGGCCCTATTTACATCTTATTCTAGCCAGTAAGTTAGTTGTGTTATGAATGTATTTCCTTCACTTGATTTAAAATTTCTAGAGTTAGAAATAGGTCTTACTAATGTTTGCATTGTCAGTATTTAATATAATTTTTAGAACATTACAAATAGGATAAACTCTTTCTGCCAGAGTGCTGATTCTGCACGTGGATAAATAATAGCTAACATTTTTTGAGAGCTTACCATGTACAAGGCTCTGTTCTAAGAACTTGACATGTCTTTAGTTTACTTAATCCTCATAATAACCCTTTTGAGCTGGTTACAGTTGTTATTGTCACTTTACAGATGAAGAAACAGGGAACAGAGAGGTTAAGAAGCCTCGCCCAGGGTTGCACAGCTAGGAAATGACCAAATTGGAATTCATATCCAGTCAGTCTGGCTCCAGAGCTTGCTCTTATAACCTGTTATGTTACAGTGCTTCATCAAGTAACTGTTACAGATTTCTTAATATTAAATGTAGGTGTGGGCTAATTTAACAGCAGAAGTTGTTTTTCTTTTATACTATTAAGTTTTTAAATCTAATAGAGCCCCAAATATATTTCATCTCTTACTTTTTGAAGTTACCAAGGAAATTGAATGCAGTGATTGTTTTTGTTTTTATGGAAGCTGATTTGCCAGGGTTTTTTTTAATTTGAAAAGGTTATGTTTTCTTCAAGTGCAGAATATGACTTTAATAATAATAATTCATACCAGTCCTTCATTATTTGACAGTTTTTTCCGAGTCCCTAGTTTTATGGAATGAATCACAAAGTGCAGAATTGCAGTTCCAGGTCATTTATTCTCTTTAAAAAATAGCTCGTTTTTCTCTTCATGGTGTTAAATTGTATTTTCCTTTAAATTATTTTAATATTTAGAATAGCTGTTTTGAAGTCCTTGCCTGCTAATTCTGTCATCTCTCTCATTTCTGGGTCATGTCAGATTTGGTTGACTCCTATTGATTTTTTTTTCCCTCTTAGTTTTAGGTCACATTCTCCTGCTGCTTCACAAGTCTAGTAATTTTTATTGGATGCTAGACTTGGTGAATGCTATGTTGTTGTGTGTTGAAGTTTGTCTTCAAAGGCTGTTGAAATTTGTTTTGCTCAGCACTTAAGTTACTTGTGGATCAGTTTGTATGTAAGCTTTGTTAGACCAAGTCTAGAGAAGCCTTTACTCAAGGACTAGTTTCGCCCTGCCGCTAAGGTGTGACCTTCTGGAGTCCTTTCTGAATGTCCTGGGTATTCATTGAGACCTTTCCACTCAGGCTGATTGGCACTCATATTTTGCCTGGCCCTCTGTGAACTCTTGGGATTTGTTCAGGTTACAACTTTCTGGTAGTTTTTGTAGTTTTTCTTTGCTTTGCTTTGTAGAGTTTCTCACCTTAGCACGTGTGACTTTGTTTTTAGCTAGATTCAAGTGAACACCACACAGATATGGCTAGCGCTCTTACTCTGCATAGCTCCTCTTCTCCAGTACTCTGCCCTGCATATTCCAGCCGCCTTAGCCTCCCCAGTTCTGATCCCTGCCTTTGTGACACAGTGTGAGTCCGTGCTCTGCTTGTGGGCTTCCGTCCTGCTCTGCTGCTGGGGATGTGCCTTCTTGGGTAAGCTTGGGCAGCAGTAGGGCTCACTTAGATTGCTCTCAAAGGTCACAGCCCTGGGCTGCCTTTTGATAAGCATCTGAAAACAGTTGTTTCATGTATTTTATCTAGATTTCTAATTGTTTAAGGTCAGAGACCAAGTCCAAGACTGATGACTTGATCATAGCCCCCATCTTCTTTAGTGTTAAGTCATATGGCAGAATAATTTTGTCTATGGCCAAATGAGTACTAACAGATTTTAAGGCAGCACTGTCCACTAGAGCTTTCTGTGACATTGAAAATGTTCTGTTTCTGTGCTGTCCAGTCAGTAGCCTCTAGACCCACTTGGCTATTGAGCACTTGAAACATGGCTAGGGTAACTGAGGAACTGAGTTTTTTGCTAATTTGAACTAATAGCCCTATATAGTTAATGGCCACTCTAGTAGACAGTATAGTTTCTTTTCTCTCAGTATTATACAATTTCAGTCTTACAGCTTTTGCATATAATAAAAGTGCCTGTGGTTGATCTTTAACATGTCCCAGTTTAGAATATTACTAATGTATTTTTTTAAATTATAAAAATATTTACATGTTCATTGGTGACCATTTGGAAAATGCAGAAAGTACAAAAAA